ATATTTAAAATTATTTTATTTTATAATTTATATTATAAATTTATATTTATCCTATGTGGAAGGATTTCCGGAAACTATGCGGAGGAGACTTCCGGAAACTTTCCGGAAATTTTTTTTTTTTTTTTTACAAAAATCATTCGGAAATCATCCGGAAACTTTCCGGAAATTAATTTTTTTTACGGAAATCATCTGGAAATCTTCCGGAAATTGATTTTTTTTAACGGAAATCATCTGAAAATCTTCCGGAAATTGATTTTTTACGGAATTCTTCTGGAAATTAATTTCTTTTTAACGGAAATCATTTGTAAATCTTCCGAAAATTATCCGGAAATCTTCCGGAAATTGATTTTTTTAACTGAAATCGTCTGGAAATCTCTTAGAAATTGATTTTTTTTACGAAAATCTTCCGGAAATTATTTATTTTTACGGAAATCTTTCGGAAATGAATTTTTTTACGGAAATCACATGTGAAACTTTCCGGAAATAATCCGGAAATCTTCAGGAAAAATGATTTTCTCTTTACTGAAATCATTTCGGAAACTTTCCGGAAATCTTTCGAAAATTGATTTTTTTACGGAAATCTTCCGGAAATTAATTTTTTTTACCCAAATCACTTTGGAAACTTTCCGGAAATTAATTTTTTTTACGGAAATCACTTCGGAATTGGACCCCGCACAAAATGCACGTAAAAATCTTCCAGGGAAATTGTTTGAAACTTCGTGGGAATGAATTTTTAAGAATGCTAAACATAATACTGAAGTCAAAAGTGCCCAACTTAAGGTCAGAAAGGGGACTAGGAGAGGTTAAAATCAATTTGTAAATTGTCATAAATTTAATAAATAAACAAAATCTGTTGGGAAATTCATTGTGACTATTTTTGTATGATTAAAAAAAATGTTTTAATCAGTGACCGTCACAGAATCAAAACAAAATTAAAAAATACTTTTGTTTTGATTCGGATATGGATATCAGAATCAAAATTAGTCTATTCAGTTTTGATTCTGATAACCGAATCAAAAATAAATATTGTTTATGTTCTGATTCCAGTATCAAAATCAAAATTCCACTCTACTTAATTTTGATTCCAATATCAAAATTCCATTCTATTTAGTTTTGATAAAATACTACTGCGCATGTATAAGTCTCATTAAACCTAAATTTTGTTGCAAATGTCAAATATATCAGAACATAATATCGTTTTTACATACCAAATCTGAAGTAGAATTCGAATCGACTTCTGTTTCTATAAGAAAACCGAATTGCAGTATTACAGTATCAGAATCAAAATAGAAAGTAAATTGTTTCCTTGCAGTATCAGAATCAAAATAGGAAGTAAATTTTGTTTCGTTACTGAATCAAAATCAAAATACATTACTAATTTCGTTTTTTTTGGAATATCGTAACGAAATTAAAATTTGATTTCCGTGACGGTCGCTGGTTTTAATTAATTAATTAACTAATTAATTAAAACATAAAATTAAATAATTTTTAAAGAAAGTTCTCTGACAATTAAATTTATTATTCAGAGGAAATAAATCCAGCCTAAAATAATACTGAAGTCCACTTGTTTTCAATTCAATTTTACGTACTTAATTGAAATAATTTAAAGGCCGTAGCAGTATAAGCATGTAAAAAGTGCCCCCTCTTGGATTGGGTCCATATTTAGGGAATAATTTTGACCTATTATGAGACTTATTTTCACCAAGTTTTAACTCGAAAAAAAATTTTGTTTTTGAGTTATACAATTTTTTTGAAAAATTCAAAAAAATTCAAAAATTTTTTTTCCCTCCAAAATGGTTGAACCGATTTTCATGAAAAAATTTTTTTTGTACAATACAATATGAACATACTACTGACACTCGCGAGTTCACGATTTTTTCGTGAACTTGTACCTCTACTTTTGACGAACTACTCTTCATTAACAGTTCATCAAAAATTCATTAACTTTGTTTCAGTTTTTCGTTGACGTTCGTCATTTCTAATCAAAAGTGAATGAAAATTTTGAAATTTTGTGTCCCATCCAAAAGTGATATACTAGTTCACGAGAGATTCGTGAACTTTTTTTTCCGTGTAGATTTAAGTTTTATCTTTAACTTAAGACCAAAAGAATTTAAAAATCTTATTCGGTTCGTGAGATCCCAATATACATATGTGACTGTCCACGAGAAAACAGGGCTTAGCTCTAAAAAAGCAATCCCAGGCGCGAAGTGACGCCGAGTTCAGGCTTTATAAAGATTGGCCGAGCATTGGTCAACATTGATTGAGCATGAGTGAATCAGCGAGAGCAGGACTGATCGAAGCTTTAATGTAACACCGATTCCAGACTGCAGCGCGAGCCTTGATTCAGCATTGAACACCAATGCTCAATCAATGCTGCGGACGCCTAATGCAGGACTGAAACAAGACTGCTTCCACTGTTCCCAAATTTACTCGTTTCTCACGTTTATTCAATATAATGTGAATATATGAATTATTAATAATAATAATAAATATTATTGTTATTATTTTAATTCATGTGCGTATATATACATATATATTTAATGACAATAAGTTATTATTTGTAATAATTATATTATTTTCATATAAATAAGAATATATTACTAACAATAAATATCATTTGAATAGTAATTTTAAAAAAATAATTTTAGTAAAAAAAGACAATTTTTCTGTTAATCGTTACATTTTTTTCTTGATTTTTAACAGACTTTTAACATTATTTATAAACATGTTCACATTTTTTATTCACAACACAACACACAATTTTATTATTTTATATAAACGCTTATAACAAAGAATGAAAAATATTCGCTCGCATGTGGGATCGAAACTCACGCACCCCGCCCCTAACGCATACCGGAAGTATCTAATGCACGCATTTAAACCGCTCGGCCACAGAAGGCTGGAAGGCTTCTCGCCTAATCTACTATATCAATGCCAGTGCCGTCACTCAACATGGGACACCAATGTTCGTCCCATACTCGTTTCAAGTCTCAGTAATCTTGTTACAATATTCAGTTTCTTTATTACCGTGTGCAATGTACAATATTATCTATAAATATTTATAAATTATTTAATATTAAAATATTTCTTCTGATAATTTTATAAGTTAAATTATATATTATTTTTTTTCTCGCACAGTGTCAAATTATTATTTTCAAAGTTCAAGAGTTTCGTTTATCTGAAAAATTTTCAGTGAAAAAAATGTTCATTAGGTAGTAATAAATATTTATGCCTAGTAGTTTTACACTAGAATTAACTGTTTACTGAATATTATCAAAAATATATTTTTCGTCAAACGCGCGCGACTAAACACAAATACCACCATCCCATCTACTCAATGCACTCCCCGCCTGTGACGTCATGAGGGGAAAGCATTGAGTAGATGGGATGGTGGGAGCACGACAATCGCAACGTCGCGCTGTAAAGTCTCAAGGTTATTTGTGTTCAGTCGCGCGCGTTTGACGAAAAATATATTTTTGATAATATTCAGTAAACAATTAAACCTAGTGTAAAACTACTAGGCATAAATATTTATTACTACCTAATGAACATTTTTTTCACTGAAAATTTTTCAGATAAACGAAACTCTTGAACTTTGAAATAATAATTTGACACTGTGCAAGAAAAAAAAATAATATATATAATAATTTAACTTTATTGATATGAATCTTATATAATTAATATAAATATTATACACTAAATAAATATTAATATTTATTTACCAATTGATATCTTAATAACAATAATAATAATACTTATTATATTATTTAATAATGATTAATAATAAGAATAATAATTTTTAAATAGTATAAAAAATTACTAAAAAATATCACTAATAATATTTTAATATTAAATAATTTATAAATATTTATATCTAATATTGTTATAAGTGCACACGGTAATAAATAAACTATCAAGATTGATTCAAGCTTGAATAAAGACTGGATGTTGAAGCTCCACTCACGAAGATTGACCGAGTGTTAAATCGAGCATGGGACGAACATTGGTGTCCCATGCTGAACCAATATTGAGTGACAATGATATAAAGACTGCTTCAACTCTGGGTTACCCACGCTGGGCGTTCAAGACTCAGTCAAGTTTCAACCCATCGTCAGCACTGGTCTTTCGCGCCTGGGATTTTGATTTTTTTTGCTAATCGATAGATATTATATTGCTTTTTCAAATGCAAAAATCAAAAGTTGTAAATTGTCAATTACTTTTGACAATACAACGTTTTAAAGATGTTATATTGTATGCATTCTTTCGTTCTGCTTCTACTTCAATCACTCGCCCTGTGAAAGCTAAGCCCTGTTTTCTCGTAGAGTTGCATTCGAGCGAGAAATTACGATAAATAACCTAATCGATCCATACACTCGTTCAATTGTCATAATTTTATCGTATCGTCTCGTACCGTTTCAACAATCGCTCGTAAGAACGATCGAGCCCGAGAAATTTTCATTGTAAATGTTAAAATCTTCTAACGACATTTGTTTTAACCTTCCTATTTGACATTTATTATTATATGTACAAAATTTTTAATATTAATACAATTTTGCAGTTTAGAATTGGATTTTTTTGGTGATAAATGAATTAATAACCTATTTATTGAAAATATACAATAAACTTTAAGAAATTAAATGTCAAAAAAAACCTTTCTAACAAGAAAGTGTTTATAAATATAAAAATTATTTATTTACTTTTATAATGTAAATTAATTAAGTATATTTTTTAGTATTACTAAAATTTAATTTATTAATTGCAAAAATAGTGTATATAAAAATATAATAAAAATTATAATAAAATAACAATTATATTTAATTAAATTGGTATATGATTCTAATCAACACTTATGTTGCAGCAAGTGTAATAATTTAATAATATTTGATTTTTGAATAATTGTCGGATATTTCATTTTGATTAAGCGATTATATTGAAAAAAATAATAATAATTCATGCAGCAGAATTTTCAAATATAAACAACTTTATTATAAATTGACAAATAGGAGCCAGAACATTGCTCGAAACATTTTCGTTTAACTCTTTTCAATCAATGAATCAATTTTCAAAGTAAGAGAACAATTATTCCACGAATTAAGACACATTAACTGGGTAATAGAATTATTTGATAAACGGTTCCTGTGCTTTCTGATGACAAGAGAACTGCGTGAAAATAGTCTTTCCGATGGAACTGATGTCGCACTTGTACATAAAAAGTCTCGAGACATTCTTGCAAGGTTTGGTAAGATTGTTGCATGTTTTTTCCACCATTCGAGGATGTCGGTATTTTTTCCAGCTCGTTTTTGAGAACAATAATAATCAATTTCCCATTTCCATTCAGGAGATTTCGAATTTTTTGGAATAGAAAAAACATCCTCTGATTCAGAATCTGACAAGAACAGAATGTCCATATCAAATTTGTCTTCAGTTTCTAAATTAGATTTATGAACTTTTGAAACTTCTTCTTCTCGCTCAAGAGTTACCTATTATTAATACATGAATTAATAAAAATTATTTTTTAAATTATTAAAAGTTACTAAAGGTGATATAAATTTTGTTTTTCAAGGATAAAATAAAAATAAAAACTTGAATTATATTTCTATAGCTAAAATAAATAGTTAAAGCAGTTAATTTTAAAAAAGTAAAACATTTAATAAAAAATGAAATTTTAAGAAAATAAACAATGTTTTATGTAAGTTATTTAAATGAAAATATTATTATTATTTATTATTTTGTATTATTATTTTATATTATTATAAATTAATATTATTATTAATTATTTATTATATTTTAAATTAAAAATTTAAATTAAACTACTAAATCGAAATAAACTATATTTTTTTATTTAAGGTTAACTGTTTATCTACGTATAAAGTTAATATTCAAAATACCTTTGTTTGGTAATATTGCGATTTATAAATCTGTTCAAATATTTTGATCGAGTTTTTAGCCATTTCTTTACCCCATTCTGTCAATTGAAATGTTTCAATTTTATGTCGAGGGTCTAAAATGAGAACAACGCAATATACCCAATGAAATTTTCTATAATGTTTTAAAAGTTTTTCAATAGCTGCTTCTAGAGCATCTAACAGAATTTCTTCTACATGCGTTCTGCCATCTTTCAAAATCAGGATATTTTTCGCAGCTTCAAGTTTATCTAGCAGTAAATTAAATCCTATAATTACTGAAGGCAGGGTTATGTACTTTTCCCCACTCAACTTAATCAACAAAACATTAAAATATTCTAAAAATTTTGACGCTTCTTCTAAAATTTCCCACTCTTTAGCAGAAAGCACGAATTTTTGCAAATCGGAGTTGTTCTCACACAGCATATTTAGTGCTGGTTTCATTCTGAAAGCTAACGTTAGCATATTATAGGTTGAATTCCATCGGGTCGTTACATCAATGTTTGGAGCTAGAAATTTAACATTGCATACAGTGCAACAAGAACTTAATTTATTACTCCTTTGCTCCGAATTCTTCAGAAGACTAAATAAGGATCTAAGTTTAGAGAGAGGAGAAGTTCTTCCCAAATCTTCAGAGTAAAACTCTTCATCATTTTCGGTGTTTTCGTCGTCAGTTTCATTTTCCTCACAGTCAATATTTTCGTCAGTTTCATTTATTTCATCAATTCGGAGAATTTTCAAATAATCTTGAACAGCCAGGTTTAAAATGTGTGCCAAGCAACGATAATGTTATTCACTGGCATTAAAATTGATCATAATTTTGGACAATTCTTGCATAAATGTAGTATTTGCCGCAGCGTTATCTACGGTGATCCCTTGTACTTTATTCTGTAAGCAATATTTACAAAGAACACTGTAGAATAATTCCGCTATATCGCGTCCAGTGTGATTTCCATTGGAAGAAAGAAAATCGATGACTAAAGAATGCAAAATCCAATCGTTATCAATAAAATGAGCCGTAATGCCATAGTACGATTTATGAGCCAGCGACGTCCAACCATCTATGGTGAAAAAGATTTTTGACGAATTCTCAAGCAAGATTTTCATAACCACCTCTTGTTTTTCTTTAAATCGTTTTTCGCATTGTGACTTTAAAAAGGAGCGTAATGGTAAGGTAACTTCTGGTTTTAAATAATGGAAAACATCCTGAGTCTTCTGATCTTCAAAAAACGAGAATGGCAAAAATTTCGATGTCATCCAATCGACAACCATACCATCAAATTTGCCTTGATCGAACGTCTAATTAAAAAAAATTAATTTTTAATTACAAATTCTCATTTTACTATCAGAAGATTGTCAATTATTATTAATTATGCTCAAAAATATTTTTAAAATACTTCAAAATACTTCAAAAAACCTATTAAAATTTAATTATGAAACACAGTAATTTTAAATTTAATCTCATGATAAAAAAACATCAAGAAAAAAAGAAAATAAAAAAATTCGGAGAAAGATAAAAATTTTTTGAAGATTTGAACTAAAATTGAAAAAGAAAATAATTTTTTTATTATTTATTTAAAAATTTTAAATTACTTGATTCGAAATATTATCAGAAGGATAAGTTTCTGAATATTCCTTTGAATGGTTATTTCTAAGATGACGTTTCAAACCAGACGTGTTCGAGTCTTTCATTTTAATAACCACTGGTTTTTCTTTACACAATCTACATGTACCATATTTCATACCATTGTTAATAGTGTAGTTGAATGAGTTATCTAATGATAAACCACCATTTTTACGTTTTCTCGATTTAAAAACACAAGCCTCACCAACATTTTGCCCGTCACTAAAAATATGTAAATTTAAGAAATGAATAAATAATATAAATAAATAATTAAATTAAATAAATTTCTAATTTAAGAACTTTTTATTTGCTTCAGCAATTTGTGTAGTTGAATCTTGATCTCCTGCAATTTCCATTTTTCAAAATTATTTCAAATGAAATATTTATTAAGTAAACATTAAAAAATTCACATGACAGAAGTTATCGCTTGTTATTACGGGACGATACGATACGATTATAAACAAAAGACTAATCGAGTAAAGAGATCGTAAAATTTTTTTGTAATCGAGTGAAGTCGAACGAGAATAACGATTTTCTCGGATCGTATGCAACTCTATTTCTCGTGGACAGTCACATATATAGAAAATATCTACTGCTTTGATTCAAAAATAAAATTTGTTTGAATAATTGTGTTTAATTCAAATATATTTTCTGTTTTGGTTAAAAAAAATATGTTTAAAAATGTTATGTTTGATCTAAAGTTAAATGTTGATTAGAAATAATTTAAAATCAACCATAAATTATGTTTGAATTGAATATATTATTTCTATAAATGAACCAAAAAATATGTTTGAATTAAACTTAAATTTGTTTGACTGTATAACAAAGATATTTTAAGTTTGATTTAAACAAAAATTTTTTGAATCAAATAAATCGTTTTCTCAGTGTATTTACAAAAAAATTGTGTTTTCAAGATTGACATGTTTTTGGGCCGTGCGCGTGCAGCCGTACCAATAATTCCCAACGGTACATAGTGTACGTCCATTTACTTTTTTAATAAATCTTGTACATACTAAAAAATCAATATATACAATAAACAGGCATATATTATTAACTTTTTTAGAAATTTAATTTAAGTATTAATTAATTTTTAATTTAATTTTAAAAAATGTTGGCCCCTCGTTTATATGTACTATTTAGGGGCCAAAAATTGGTTTTTTATTTTTTAAAGTATGAAGTACCCTTTCAAACATCTTGCAAAAAATATATGTTACTTTTGAAATGACTATTATCTTATGTAAAAAAAATGGCGGTGGTGCAAAAAAAATTTCAATAAAAAAAATGTTTTTTTAAAAAAATTAAAATTTTTTTTTTTTTACTTACTTTATACTGACTTTTTTTGTTTGAATTTGGTCGACAATTTTTTTTTATCAACTGTTTATATTGTATTGTACAAAAAAAATTGTTTCATGAAAATCGGTTCAGCCATTTTGGAGGAAAAAAAAATTTTTGAATTTTTTTGAATTTTTCAAAAAAATTGTATAACTCAAAAGCAAAATTTTTTTTCGAGTTGAAACTTCCCAGTGGGAAATTTCCAACCGGCGCGGATCCTCACCTGTACCGACGCCGGAGTAGTGGTACTGGCTGGGAACCGCCTGCCTACCGCCCGAGAACTGGTATTCTACCAAAAGATGACTTGGCCAGGAGCTGGCTGGCCATCCGTCTCGGAACTGGCATTCTACCGCCCGGTAACCGGCCGCGAAGAGCCGTTCCGTGTATAATTCAACCGGCTGGGACCCGGCACTGTACCGACTGCGGATCTTTCATTTAATATACAGCCGAGCGCTGGCATTCTACCGACTGACAACCGGATCGGATCAAAATGATAATTTCAACAAATATCAATAAAAAAATAATAATTAATTGCAAAAGATAAATACTGATAACAATTCATTGATAGTTCACTTTACACATTTTTTTATACACTTAACGGTATTTTTTTATATTCACATTTGAAAAATCCTAACGCTTGGGGGTACGAACCTACGCCTAACCGAATATTTACGCACCGAAATCACGCACGCTAACCACTATGCTACGCTCGCATGGAACTCTCAAATCTTAAATGCTTTCAAGTCTCACTAGCTGAAATAAAAATTGTAAAATTACTACGCGGCAATAGGCAATTTGGAAATACGAACTGATGTAATACCGGTATATTTTCAATACTTTACTGAATGTGTATTTATGAATATTTCAATATTTCGTTTAAAAAAAATGTTATATTTTTATTATTATGTTTTTTAATATTTTATTACATAATATATCGAATAATATGAATAATATCACTGCAAAACAATTTATAACATATAAGTAATAGTATTAAATTGAATAAAATTTTAATGCACAACACATTTTTTTAATTATTTAATTTGCAGAAAAGTGTCAATAAATAATTACTTAATATATTGTTTAAATTAAAAAGAGATTATTAATTAATTAATAATAAATTAATTAATAATAATCTCTTTTTAGGGTTCCGTACACCTACGGTGTATCGGCGGAACCCTATTGGTGAGACTCTGTTGTCCGTAGCCAAATCGTGTCCCCCCCTAGCGGCTAAACTATTTGACCTAGAGAGCTCAAATTTGGTACAGATATGTATTTTCACACGTAGATTACAGGAAAAATATAGAGAATGTGTTTGGAGATGATGGTCATAGCGTTGTCAAGGAAATAACAAGATTTTTGGCCAAAAATGCATAAAAAGTGACCATTCCCCCCCCCTTAACTTCTAAACTATTCAACATGGAGGGCTTAAATTTAACATACTGGTGTATTTTATCGTGAATATTACAGGAAAAATATAGAGAACTTGCTATGTATTAATGTCCATAGCGTTGTCAAGGAAAAACTAAAAAAAATTTTGAAATTTTTTTTTTTCTAATTTCTACATTATTTGATCTAATTAACTAAAAATGGGTTTATTAGTCTATTTTTACAGTCTGATCACAAAAAATATATTTAAAAATCTAAAAAAAAAAAATTTTTTTAAATTTTTTTTTTAGATTTTTTAACAAAAAAATTTTTTTTTACATTTTTTAAAAATTTTTTACAAAACTTTAAAAATAAAACAATAAAAACAGCAAAAAATTTTGTTCCTCTACTTATTATTGTTTACAATATTAGATATATACAATACTTTAATTTTTTTATTTATTTTTTTTATCAAATGATATTAATATATTTTTTTAATTGTTTATTTTAATTCTACCAATTACCGATAAATGTTGCAAGTATTGTTTTAATATTTGTGTACGGAACCCGCCATTGCAGTGCGAGTTCAACTCGCACTTGTCCAATTTTTTTTATATATTGTATTTAATATGTTATTTATTGCAGGCATTATAATATATTGATCACATTTTCTTTCAAGTTAAATATATTTTACTTCTTTCAAATTAATATATTATTTATTAAAAATTATTTATTTAATTGCACATTAATAAAGTTGGATTTTTATATATATAATGAAAAAATTAAGTTTCTTATATTCTTCCTTTGCATGAATACTATTAATTTATTTATTGGTTAACTAATAATAATATTATAATAAATGCAATTAGTTATTGTAATAATTAATTATAATAATAAAATAAATTTATGATTATACTGATAATGTAAACTATAACAATAAATGACGAGATCCGCAGTCGGATCCGCCCCAGCACCGAGCCAGTACAGACCTAACATCCGTCATTCTTCTGACGCGCGTAGAAGAATGAAATCTGCAGGCGGAACAAATCCAGTACCGCGCCAGTACTGACGAAAGTAGAAAGGCGGAT